TGTTAAAGTTGCTCTACGACAATTCTCAATTGTGCGGCCACAAGATATCTCAATTGTTTGAATCAAGAAACACTGACTCAATGGGCTCCATACTTGTCACACTGCCTCACAATGGCAGGGAGGTTCTTTTAGAAGACCTACTCCCGCCTTGTGTTCAAGGAGGCAGCGATGGGCATCAAGGAGCAGGCGGTGCGCTACCTCGAAATGATGGCGGCTCCCGAGGGGTCGGTTCGCGTTTTCCTGCCGACAGGGTCGGCGTCCCCTCCGCTTAGTCTGTACATGTCGGCATGGGATCACAACGGAAACGGCCGGCCAAAGAAACTGGGAAAGCCGGACAAGACGCATGCTTTGCCGGAGACAGTCTGGTGGGACACGCGCGGCAAGCTCTGCTGTACGTGCGACCGGGGCCGACTGACGGAGGGACGCGCCGTGCGTGCACAAGCTGGCTTTGGCGGCCATCAGCGAAAGCTGGGCCTCAACAGCGGAGCTGCCCACCCACGAGTTGCTTGGCAAAGGGGCGAGGGTAGAGCGGGTTGGAGCAGACGCGACGGGGAGCTATTTTGCGGTAGCGGACAACGTTCAGGGGCCGCCGGGCCCTCGAAGGCGCATGGTATTCCGCAGCAGCAAGGGGGTGTGGTACTGCAAAGGGAAGCGCGACGGGTGCCCATCTCTTGTCGATTGCTCGAGTGCGGCAAAGACGGCTCTGAGAAATGAGGGGGACCTTCCGATCGCCGACCAAGTGGTCATGAGCCTTTCGGAGCCGATATCCAGGGCTGCGCTGGGCTGGCTCAAAGCGTGGAGCCGAGAGTTGCCGACAATCGGACGGGGGGTGGTGCCCAGCGTGGGGGCACCCTCGCCCCCAACTCTGGTCAATGAAGAGCAATACCTCATCGAGCTGCTAGAGCAGCGGCCCCACGAGCGGGCAGCGTGCGCCGGCGACACGTGCTTTTGTCGTCAGCATGATCGACTCTTTGAAGAGGCCGCTGCACACATCTCGGACGGCGATCAGGGCCCGGAGAAGGAGCCGGTTGCGGGAGAGGCACCCCCTCGCAAACGGGCAAGGCGGAACAAGGCTTTCTGGGAGGCGCACAAGCAAAGCCCGCATCCGGCAACGAGACGAGGGTGGGACGCGCGGCCACCAGCAGAAGCGAGGGGGAAGGAGGCAATCCGGGGTTGGGTTGACGCGTGCACGAGCTGCTCGTTGGCTGCAATAGCGGTCGCGGGAGGCCGATGCAAGCACGGACTGAGAGGCCTCGAGGGTTCGCGCCCCCGTCATGCTTTTGAGCACGGAGGCGGTCCAGGTCTCAAAGCCCAAGCTAGCTCGCCCAAGCGATGCGCATGCTGTTCATGACCCCCTAGTAACCTCGCTCAGAAGCCCCGTCCCCGTGAGCGAGCTTTGCAAGTGCCACTTTCGAGAGCTTTCAGAGAAAGGGCTGCTTAGCGCGCTCTGCCCATTGGACTCTCCCGCATGCGGCGGCTCGTGGGTCGAGATGTGGGTCCAGGCAGACGTGACGGCCTCCCAGTGGAGCCAGCAAGTGCGGGTGCGGTTATTCCATTGCCAGTGCCTCGACGAGGCGCACACGATCCACTTTGACGGGGAGCACCTGGGGTTGTACGCGTGGAACCGGCGGACCCTCTTTGTGCAACAGAGCCTACAGCTGCTCCTGCGGGGGATGCAGCACGGGCACAGCTTCAAGGCAGAGCTTGCGACCCATCAAACGGCCTTCCATTGGTTGCCGGACGCTGTTGTTTTGAGCGAGGAGACGTGGCGAAGGGCGAGCCTCGACTTCTTCAAGCTGGTTGGGCTGGGGCTCCGGGATTGCTGCTCGTTGTGCGGTCCCCATCCAAAGGTAAGCTACATGACTTACTCATGCAAAACACAAGAGGACACGAGAATCTTCTGTCTATTGTGTTTCTCCTGTCTATCATTTTGTGACCGTGAGAAACATGCCTTTAGTGTACATTCTTCCATAATTAGTGTACATTTGCTGATATTCTGTGTACATCCAGTGACATTCCGTGTACATCGAACGATGTCCAGTGCAATGAATTTCAATCCCCTGATTTAATGGTCGATTGGCATAACCTTGGCTCGACATACCCGTTGACCTACCGTCACAAGTTGGGCTCTTTTGCCAGGTGCTCATTTGCGACGGCATTGTCGGCCTCGCCAGCGCGGATGGCGCGCAAAAGCCAGGCGGGCTTGGGAGCTCCTCGCTTGACGCGCGGCGCACATTCTGCCACCCTAGCCGTTTCTCCACGGGGGCGCTCCTCGAGAAGCGGCCCATCTCCGGCCGCGACTATTGCGGGTCCGGTCTTCAGGGGGGCGGGTTGAAGCGCAAGCTCTTGCTGCTACCTGAGTTGCGAGAAGCGCTCGCGCGCCTGTCCCAACATCGGCCCAAGGACGAGAGGCTTGGGAGGAGGCTGTCAAAGGTGGAGTATGAAGCGCTCTTGAACGGGCTCGGCTCACGAGGACCCCCAGATCGTGAAGCGTTTCGGGCCGGATGAGGCGGGGGGGCCGCTTCCAGAGGACGGCAGACGGCGCATGCTCGCCAAGCAGCGCACGATGGTACGAGACCAAAATCTGGCCGTCTTTGAGTTGCTGACGGGGATCCAGGCCGACTTTGAGAGGCGAGGCTTGAGCTCAGACCTGTGGCAGCGCTGGGTGGGCGAGTGGACGGAGCTTCTGTACTCTCTCGGCGCGCACGACAGCGACGAGGCTCTCATCGGACCTGGCGCATTGCATGTAATCCGGCGGCTTTGCCTTGGGGGCGAGGCAACTCGCGAGGACCGACGGGACTTGGCAAAGGACGCACCAATCCTGCGACGCATCCTAGATTCGTGCGGAGGGCTCACATTCCCGGCCTTCTTCATGCGTGTGCTCTACCACCTCTACCTGCTCGTACTCTTGGCTCAGGGGGGGACGGGATTCGAGAGCGAAGGGCGGCGGGGCTGGGTGCACGAGGCAATCGATTCATTCAAGCGAGCGGTTGACCTTCTTACGGAAGCTCGAGCGCGTCCCTTGAGCATCGATGAAAGGCGACACTTGGACGAGGCGCGAGGGCTGGCGAACGAGCTGCTCCCAGGGGTCGAAAGGTTGGTGCCAAGCCTTCAACAGTGGGAGAGAATGAGCGGTCATGAGCGCTCGCTCTGAAGAGAGAGGCTGGGGCGCGACGAGGAGGGACACGAGTTGCACCCGTTGCCGGCGGGGCACGCTTTTCGAGCCGAGCAGGACGTCTTGGCGTGCTATCCATTCCCTGGTTGGGAGGAGAAGCGGGGGTTGCCGTGGTACAGCAGCTTCGAGCATCCGGACGGCCGCAGTAAGAGTTCGGAAGAGAACAAGTGCGCAACGGGGAAGTTGATGACCGAGTGGGATGCTGAGAACGTTCCTGGGCTGGTGAAGGGAGCCGGAAAGCCCTCGGGATTGAAAAAGGGAAGCAAGAGCAAGCGGCCAAAGAGGACTAGGGGGGGTTACGTTTTTGCGTGCCCGCATCGGGTCATCTACGGCTTTCACATCATGCTTCGAGGAGAGAGTCCAAGGGACGCCTTTGTCGTGCTCTACACTCGGCTAAGGCGGGAGGACTTGCCAGAGGTTCTGGTGCATGACAACAGTTGCGCCTTGCGCAACTACTGCTTCCGCAGGGAACCGGCGCATTTTGCCAAGGTTCGGTTTGTCGTCGACAGGTGCGTCACTTTCACGCCATAATTGCGTGGTTGGACAATCTGTATGAAGACTTGGTTGTAGTGGGCGTTGTTGCCAAGCATTGAGTAGGGATTGCAGTGTGCATCAACTGGGATTGCGTGTACATTGAGATTCATTTTGCAATTGGGCCGGTGCTGAGAGCTTTGATTCTCGATTCAAAACGTGTACATTGGGTATTATTCTAAAAATGTGAACTGATGTACATCTTCATGTTGACAGGTTCCACTTTTCAAAGGCCGGGTCGGAGGTACACAAGTGCGGCCCCTCAAATTGCCCGGACAGCTATCCGTCGCTCCACTGGGTAAACACCAGTGCAGTGGAGTCGGTGAACTCCTTTTTGAAGGGGTTCAGGAGTCTAGGATGGTACTCGGGGCTCGAGAGTTTCATGGTGATCCTGCCTCTGCTCTTGGGAGGCTACAATAGCGCTTTGAGGCGGGTCGACGATGCCAAGCTTAGCATTGCAATTGCGGTAGCCGTGTGGACGGTGGGGGTGCGCGCTCAATTGTTGCAAGGATAATCGGGCGCTTTAGTGTAAGTTGAGCCCTATTCAGTGGCGGTACACACATTGATACATCATTTCGAGTAGTGTATCACGCTCCTAAACGCTGAAAGGCTGGCTCTTGAAAGATGCCAGATCATCTGCAACGCTTACGACGGCCGGATTAAGGCACGATGCGTTGCCCTTGCGCATAAAGCATATCGCAAAAGAAGCCTGAAAAGAAGCCTGATACAATTGATACGCCTGATACGCATATTCACAGCAAGTGGTCCTGTATGTAATGCTTCTCTTTTTTGTTCTTCTTTGAAAAACTTTTGTATACTTTATGTGTGTATCTTGTATCAGGCGTATCAGCTCCACCCGGCGCACATTGCAGACATCATTCGCTTCCCTGCATCATTGAGAGAATGATAAATACTTCACCGCCCAGAATTCCGCTCATTTGGCATTTCAAAAGAACAGTTGGCAACAAATTCCGAGATTCCAAGATTGATACACATCCGTTCAAAACAACCAAATTGTTGTATCCGCTGTATCAGTCTGCCTATGGGAGGTTCCCTTGCGCATCCGTCCGCCCTAGCTCCTCCTTGGTCTTCAAACGAATCCCAAAGAAACCTCTAAGCCGCTTCTTACCGTCGATCGTTCGAATCAAGATGGCTTTTCCCCGCTCTTGTGGGAATCCTTTCAATCGCATCGCTCTTGTCAAACCGTCCCCCGCCAATGCCACATCATGCCCACTTGAGTACAGAAAGTTTGTGAAGGCCTCGACAAACTCGATCCTGGTGACGCTTGCCGCCTCTCCCTCGGCCGTTTCCTTAGTAGTGCAAGCCTCGTCTATGAAAAATTGAAGCTTGTCGTTCTCTGAAGCGTACTCCCTTACAGCCGCGGAGAACTCCTCGGGGACTGGCGAGAGAACCTTTGAGGCGGGAGCTAGTGCCCTCTTTGCGTAGTACATGATCGCCCCCTGAACGCAAAAGTCTAGAGTGTCCGCTGCTCCTTCATCCGATTCGAAATATGGCTTCAGGGTTACATCGATGGGCCTGTGCATCTTGTTCGTTGCATCGAGCTCGTGGGGATTCTTGAACGTGTAGTTGAACATGAGCAACACAAGCCGTCGAATGAGAGCGGTGTCATCGCTTGGAAAGTCCGGCCTGTAGTTCGTGAACAAACAAAGCTTGTATTGTGGCACGTAACTCTGCGGTTTGCAGAACAGCTCACGCGCATCAAGCTCGCCACCACCGCTGGCCTCTTTCACAAAAGATGCGTGAAGCACCTCTCTTCCTTCCGATTCGTCATTCGTGACAAACGTCTTTGTTCGAATCT